CAGTCAGAGCACCTTGCAGCCCCCACCTGCTGACTGGGGGCAACCTTTGCTCCCCCCAATATGTTTCAAGACATGCAAAGCGGGTCCAGCATGGCACCTACACTTAGATCATAGGTCAAGCTTTGGTGAAAACAGCACCATAATTTCCGTTTCCTTTTTCATCTCAGTGAAGGCTGCCGAGTCGTCTGGACCCGGATGGCAGGGCTATTCTGTGGCCGCCTCTCCCTTCAGGCTCCAGGGTGCCAGGGCAGCTGGCACGGTCACGAACAGGCAGCCTGTTAGGTTTTTACTGTATATCCTGTAACTTATTCACTTATTTCAAATATTTATATGGCTGCCCATCTTAAAACCAAACGTACATGGACATAGAGGGTGGGGTGGGGAACAGTCTGTATGACTCTGATCTTGAACAGACCTTGTCTGTTGCTAGCCTTGGTCTGCGGCCTCATCTGCTTAACCAGACCTGGGCTTGGTGCCCGGGTCTAGAAGAAGGGGCCTTGGGGGAGATGTGTGGGGCCCTGTGCAAGTGCCCAAGTTATTTCCCCGGGAGCCTGATGGAGCTCTGCCCAGAATCACATTTCAGACTGGGCTGCTCCCTTGCAAGGTCCAGATTTATTGGCACAAGGGATGAGAGAAGTGTGCAAAGGAACAAATGAGGGCTCATTGTTTGTGCATGTGGGGGGGGGCTTGTGTGTCAAGCTTGTTCACTCTCTCTGCAGCTGGGGTTCCCGAGAGTGGGCTGAACAGGTCTCCTAATGTCTGGCGCCCGCTCGCTCCTTCCCGAGATGCTGGTCTGGCTTCTTGGCTGCTTCTTGACCACTTTCAGCCCAGTGGCTGGGAAGGCAGGGAGCCCCTGGACGGACTCGCACAGGTTCCCAAGGCCTGTAGTGGCCCTTGGTTGAAGACAGCAGGTTCCCCAAGATGGACCCGGAGCTGTAAATCACCCAGGAGTGCCAAAGTCCTGCGGATGTATTGGAGCACATTGGCCATAATTCCCAATCACCCGGCCACTGAACTCACGCAATTCCCAGCCGACGGCCGTGCGGGGTTGGCGTTCCAGGGCTGCCTGGGGAAGGCAGTTTAACATACCACTCCCACTGCCTTTAGAGCACCATCTCAGTCTTCCCGCTTCTGGCTGGCCATCCCCACCACATCTTCCTCTCTGCTCCTCTGTTTACTATTGATTTCTTTATTTAAATTGATATTGTTTTTGTAACAGGATTAATCCCTTGAGGAGACAGCAAAGTTTGGCAGTCGCTCTAAAATTCAATGGAAATTCAGTTAAGGTACCCGAAAGCCGAGCGAGGCTTGGCTCGCCCCCGCTTCCCCAGAGCTGGCCCAGTGCAGTTGGACTGGCCCCCCGCTTAGTAAAGACAGCCAGGTTTGGTTTCTGTGACATGGCCAGAGACTTTCCAGTAAGCAACTGACACTTACATTATTTTTACGAACCTAAATTCATAAGCTGCTTGCAAACCTCAGCTTGCCTCCCTCCCCAACTATCTTCTCCCCTTCTATAGTCCCCCTTGCTGTAGAAGGAATTGGCTTACATCTGTCTACTCGGAGTCATAATCCACAAAAACGAAGACAAGCACAGAGCAGACAAACATGAATGTTCTCAGTTTCCTAAGTCTGAAGTGACCTCTCTGTGGCCTTTAGGAGCACCTGGGGATGATCCTTGCTGTTGCGGCTCCCACCTGCACAGGGTCTCCTCAGTCACCTGCTTAAAGACAAGGAACGTGCGTCTGAGGCTGGTGGCTGAACGTCCTCTTTGGTGGGATTAACTTCCCCAAATACTGAACAGCTTTGGGCTGTTGAGGAGCTCGTCTTGCTTGATTCGGTTTCTGGAAGGGGGCGCAAAGGTCTTCTGCTCCTCCTAAGTGTGCCTCTTTGGTCTTGGCTGTGTAGGGCACAGTTCCTTAATGGTCTTGGCTCTGACCACCCTTTCTGGCCATCTAATCTAACTTGCACCTGGGATGCAGGAGACAATTTTGCTCAACAGGTGTTCCACAAGGGCTATAAAAATGGAGTGTACGGGCACATTTGCCTCCCATTCGCAAACGTCCCTGAAAGCAGGCCAGTGAACGTACAAGTTTGCTCCCAAGGTTGGAACTAGAGATTGTAGCAGTCAGCCTGCGACTGCATCAGTAGGACTTAGAGGCATGCACGGGAATTGCTCTATAATTTAATAAAGCAAAAAACAAATAAAAAGCTCTTCCTGTGCTTGAATTCACCTATCAGTTTGAATTTTTTTTCTGCTACCCAACTGGCTTTTGCATAATGAGGGCTGATTTGTAATATGAGTAATACTGACTTATAAGCATTTCAAACTTTTTTTTCCTGTAAATTGTGTGGTAATATCTGTTAGGACTTCCTAATGACATTACTATCTAGCCATAATGGTTTTTAAGCAATTACAAGGTTTAATGACCACTCATTCAGTGACCATTCAAAGTTGCGAAGACACTGAACGAGTGGTACTTACGACCAGTCCTTGAAGTTGTGGCCATTACAGCATCCCCACAGTCACGTGATCATGATTTGGGTGCTTGGCAACAAGCTTGCACTTATGATGGTTGCAGTGCTCTGTGGTCACAGGTTCACCATTTGCGACCTTCCCTGCCAGCTTCCCACAAGCAAAGCCAGCAGGGAAGGTTGTAAGTCACTCTGATAAGTTGCTTGCACTCTCCCCCTCCCAGCAGCAGCCACGTACGGCCCTGCTGCACCTGCGCTGTGCCTCAGGGACACCTGTGCACCCTTCCCTGCCCGACAGCAGCCACTTACCTGCCTGCCAGCCTACTTGCAACCCAGCTGAGACTTGCTTAATGACCCACAATCCTCATTTAGCAATGGCAACTGGGGTTGCCGGGATTGCCGTCACTAAGCAATGAGGTCACGACATCACGTTTTATGACCGCATCACTTAGTGACGGCAATCCTGGCAATCCCAGTTGCCGTTGTTAACTGAGGATTACCTGTAATGGCAGTGGATTGGCCATGGTTACAGTTCGGGCTACCTAGAAAAAAAGTCTGACCACAAAACGACCTCCAAATCCACTTCTAATGTTCAGGTCCACCAAGATTAGCTCCAGTTCTCTTCCAAACTCTATGCAGAATTGGTGTGGTTTTTGATTCTTAAGGCAAAACTCCCAGCCTGCTACATTCTTAAAAAAGTTTTGACTTGGTCATGGCCCCCAGAGAGATAGTCTTCAGTTCTCTGCATTTAGTGATGCTGGGCTATGCATCAAGTTTTCTCAGTGTGTCTTTTTTTATCTTAACAGAAATAACAGTTCTATCACCCTCCTTCTGCCTACACCACAGTCTTTGCATCCATTGACATTTTAGAATGCCAGCACTGAGGTTTTGGTTAAGTTTCACATACTTGACAACTTCATCTTTTGTGAGTCCCCGTTGTGGAACGGCACCTTCTTTAAGCAGTTAACATAAAGGGTGGGACCGTTATCAGTTGTGGCAGAACCCTTCCAAGGTATTGCATCACGCCCAAAGGATCCCGTGTAACAGCTTCTGGGCTGTGTCAGTGAGCGGGCGGTTACGGTATTTC